ACTTGCCTCATCCATTTGAGTGTTTATCACCCATTGGCTGTGTATGCATAGAGTTTACCCTCTACTACTTCTGTGCGTACTTTTGACTCGATCACGTTAATGGTATGCTGGACCCAGTTTCTAGCTGGTGCAGATATGGAGGTGTTGGGACACAGCCTGGCATCATAACAGGCGTCCGCGCTATTGCACGCTGCTCCTATCGCCTCCAATCGCAGGACCCTTGCAGATTATTGTAGTTCATAAAAGAGAGGGATAGAACGAGTGTGGCCGCTTGTCGGAGAACATTCCCTGGACATCTTGACAGAAACAGTGATGCATTTTCTCTTAAAAAAGACACATCCCTCGTAACATGCAAACCATCTTTCACAGGGATGTGTCTTTTTTAAGAATACTAGAAAGAATACTAGAAAGAATACTAGAAAGAATACTAGAAAGAATACTAGAAAGAATACTAGAAAGAATACTAGAAAGAAGACCAGGCACCTATTATATGTTGTATCTGTCTGACTTGCTAGTGGAATAGGGACCCCGACTGATGCTCTGCATAATGGACATGGAGCCATTCTTAAACAAGGTGAGCCCGAAACACAAATATAGTGTACACCGCATTCTTCGGAGGCCAGGTTCCACTGGCCCAAAATGGCTGGCGGTGGCAGCCTACCGGGTAGTCGAGCTGGCCCTTGGGTGTAGTTTTCTGTCTCGACGAAAAGAGGCTGAGAGAGTAGGTAGTGGCGGTTTAAAGTTTTAAACTGCCAGTACCTCCGAGCGTCTTTTCGCCAAGGCGGAAAAGACTGCGCGCCAAGGTTTGCCAAATTGCCAGCATGACGAGTCTCGCTGCACTATGCTCCACCACTCTCCTAGAAATTGGAGAGTGCGTGGAGAGCTGTAACAATCTCCGAGTTCGTGGTGGTTTTTGCTTCAACACTGCACTTAATCTTCACTGCCCACCTCTACACTTCGTGAGTGCACTAGCAGACACCGATGTTTCTTTTTGTTTTTGGCTGGGACTGCCCACCGATGTTTCTTTTTGTTTTTGGCTGGGACTGCCAGCCATTTTGGACTGGTAGAGCTGTTCACCCAAAGACAATGAATGATTCATTTTGGTGTTCGGAGATTGTCTGTGAAAGCTAGTGGTGGTTTAAGTCCAAGGAAAAGCCCAGAAAGACGCTATTTTCTGAAGGGCACCTGCAGAGTGCACCTTCACAAGAGGCGACTGTTCAGTTTTCTTCTTTTTCTTTTTTTTTTTGTTAACCTTCACAAGAGGCTAGGCCAGTTGGTATGTTGAGCATGTTACCTGGAGGCCGAGGGACAGTGGTTGGTTACTACCTACCATCTTCACCCAAATAGAGCGCCCGGTCATTATCGCTGCATCTGGACTGAAAAATGCCCCAAATACAGCTATAATGGGCGTTATATTCGGTTGAAGACGGTAGTGCCCTTCAGCATCTGGCTGACACCAGGCCTGCTCACATGCCATCTGAAGGACACCTTGGATCTTCCAAGTGACAATTCATGAAATATAGTCTCCCTCAGATGGTGGGTGATCAAGCCTTACATCTCCAAAGAGCTGCGAGGAAGTCCAAGAATGGTTGGTAAATCTATATAGTAAGCAAGGGGCAGGAGAGAGAGAGAGAGAGAGAGAGAGAGAGAGAGAGAGAGAGAGAGAGAGAGAGAGAGAGAGAGAGAGAGAGAGAGAGAGAGAGAGAGA